CAAGGATCACTACCATATTTATGCCCCTTGGCCTCAAATGCTTCTTTCTGTCCCAGAAACTGACCAGGGACCAGTATCTGGTGTTTCATGACCTAGCAACAGTTTGTGGCCAAATAGCAGTGACATCTTGATGCTTCCAAAATTCCAGCTGGAAGTTGTTTGGGGCATTACACTAGTGTACCTTCTGGTTGCACAAGTGACTGTGTAGGTTGGAGCAGAGGCCGGCATGGTCTGGAACCTCCAGGACCATACACTTTTGGGCTTCTCCATAGTAATAGGGAGATGAAGTATAGTAATAGGGAGATGAAGGGTGTCACCATGACTGTCATTTTGAGTAGCTGAAGGTGATATTTGATTTCAGTTGACTACTCAGGCTGTTTGGGGAGGGGGTATAGGCTATTTTAGGGTGGACATTTTAGGTGTGTTATGGCCCTACAAAAGGTTTTCCTTAAAAGACAATTACAAATGTTAAAACTGGGGGGTTTCCATTGTAAAATACCTTTTGGGGGGAAAGGAAGAGAAATTAGGAGGTCTCAGGGCCTTTTAATTAAACAGGTATTTGGAGAGTAAGTTTTTAAAAAATGTTGTATGTGTGCTGCACTTTAACCTTTTTTGTTGTATTTTTTTAATATATATATACTGTCGCAAATTATGGGTTTTTTTAAAAACAAGGTAGCTAATTTACATTTTTTTAAAAAAAATCAGTATCATCATGTTTTTAATTATACCTGTTTTGTAATTATGTTTTTAAAACACTTTGGGTCCTGTGTCGTTATTAAAAATTGGATATAAATAAAACTAATAAATAAATATAATTTGGGCAACTTCTCAGTGGAGAGTGCTAAGAACTGCATTGGGACCCCAAAAAGCTGCAAGCGTCTTCCTACCCTTGATTTAGACACTTGCATAAGGAAGCATCCAGTACCTTCTGGTGTAAACAGTTTCCCATTCATCCATGGCATAACCATTTGCAGCACCTGTGTTAATCTTACAATTAGAACAAAAACTGAAAATCTAAAGTGCTATAGGATACATATATACACTGCTCTCAACTCTGTCCCTCCATTTGCACTATTAAAGCTCCGTAAGGCTCCATCAAACCTGCAGAGGCTGTTGTCGTGTTTCTTCAACTCATTTCCATCTTATGGCGACTCTAAGGTGTAGCTATCCTGGAGTGTTTTTTGTTCATGTTGTTTTTTGCAAGATTTATTCAGAGGAGGTTTGCCACCTCCTTCCCCTGAGGCTGAGAGAGTGTAAACTGCCCTAAGTAACCCATTGGTTTCCATGTTTGAGAGGGAATTCGAACCCTCCAATACAGTGATAATCCCTTCCTGTCCTCCTCTTTTCCCTTCTAAAGGTTGAATGGAATGCCTTGTATTTTGTTCTTGTCCCACCTAATGTAGACCTATCAAATGAATTGCCAATTCTTCTGTTGCCTAAATAATGTAAAGGCACCAGATCTGTCTGGTTAGTACTTAGATAGGAGACCACCAAGGAGTACCAGGTGCTGTAGGCTATGCTTCAGAAGAAGGAACTAGCAAAACCTTGCCATAGAAAATCCTATGAAATTTGCCTTAGAGTTGCCATAAGTCAGAAACGACTTGAAGGCACACAACACACACACACACACACACAAATCAACACCTTGCTAATTGATTTGCTTGGTCTCTTCTGGTTGGAACTAGCAATTGGATGGAGGCCTGAATGGCTTTCACATACTGAGGTTTTGCTGCTCTCTTCAGGCACAGAGCAATAACTACAATAACTCAAAATATTTCAATTAAATTGAAATGTTTCAATTAAATCTGATGACATTGTTTTACAAGAGCCTTTCACACTACACAAATACAGCACTGTTAACTGCCATGAGTCCATTCTATAGAATCCTGGGATTTGTAGTTTGGTGAGAAGGATTCCGAATTCTCAGCTGGAGAGTTCTACTGCCATGGCTATTAAAGTGAAATCATGTGATTTCTTGTGACTGTGACAGGGCACCAGGTCATCCTGTATGCATTCTCTTACAGTGGGCCCTTGGTATCCACTCGGGTTTGGTTCCAGGACCCCCCATGGATACCAAAATCCATGGATGCTCAAGTCCTATTATATACAATGGCATAGTAAAATGATGTCTCTTATATAAAATGACAAAATCAAGGTTTGCTTTTTGCAAGCCATAGATAGTTGAATCTATGGATAAAGAATCTGTGGATTTGGTGGGTTGTACAAGGGTTCCTAGCTGCATATATTGTCGCAATATATTGCTACCCCAGTTTTATTTGCTGAGTATTGTTGAGAAAAAGACAAAATGTCTTGTCCACACTAATTGGTTTCATTCATATTATTTGGAAGTGGACGTGCTTCATTTGGAGAGGACAAGACTGTGAGACGGTAGGATAGCCACCTTCCAATAACTGAAGGTCTGTCAAAGAGGTTACAACTAGTAGCGTCATGGTGTGTGTGTGTGTATGCAGTGGGTGCTGATTGCACCGGGTGACACTCCAGAAGGGGGTGACACCAAAGAAGGGGGGCTGACACCAGCTCGTTCTCTGCACCCTGAATGCACTTTTTTTGGCCACTCCAAGGCTCTCCAAGGCTTGTGTGGGGCCTTTTTTGCACTGCCTGGGGCCTCCAAAACCTGGGCAGGGACTTTTCTGGGCCACTCAGGGCCTCCAAGGCTCGCATGGGGAGTTTTCCAGGCCCCCAAGCCCTGCCCGGGGACTTTTCAGCACCTCCCCTGCCCCCAAAACTGTACCAGAAGTCCAGGACCGGATGTTGTACCCCCCAAAAAAACTGCCCGCTGCACTGGGTGACACCCTGAGTGAGTATGCCACTGGTTCCAACTATACATTAGGAAAAACTACATTAGGAAGTCCTGATAGTAAAAGCTATTAAACAATGGAATGGACTACGGTAGAAGGTGGTGGAGTCTGCTTCGTTGGAGTTTTTTTAAACAAACGTTAGATGGCCACTTCTCAGGGATGCTTTAGCCGTTGATTCCTGTGGGTTGGCTTAGATCAGGGTAGGCAACCTTTTTGAGACAGGGGCCGGGTTGCTGTCCCTCAGACAATTGGGGGGCCGAAGCACCAAAAATAAATGAGTAAATAAATAAATAAATAAATATTTTTTAAAAAATAAAAATTTAAAAAATATGCATGCACACTCTCTCAGCCCCAGAAAAGCCATGGCAAAACCCCTATGGAGATTTTGCCAAGAAAACCCCAAGAACAAGTAATAACAACAATAATCAATATCATCATGGCAGGCAGTGGCAGCAGCGGCACCAGCAGCAGGACCGGCCTGGGGCCAGTTCAAAGGCCTCGAAGGGCCGCATCCGGGCCTTAGGTTGCCTACCCCTGGCTTAGATGGTCCTTGTGATTCCTTCCAAATCTGTAATTCTAAGAGGGAGGGAGAGTGTTGTACATCAGCCATTGATAGTTTTATATGATTTTAAATCAGTTTTATAATGTTTTCATGTGGTGATTTTAAATTGGTTTTAAAACATTTTGTAAACATTTTTAATTTGTTGTCCTGGAACCTGACTTGGATCCCATCCTGGGAGAAAGTGAATAAAAGATGCCAACATGGTTTCTTACAGATATTTTGGAAGATACTGGTTGGGGGTGATGGAAGCTGTCCAAAACATCAGCAGCATAACATTGAGGAAGACTGTGATATAACAGCACTATATGAAGCATAATGCAGATAAAAATAGAAATTGTGGATTTAAAAAATAAGGGTATTCTGTCCCTCTTATTAACTGAACTTGACGGTGTGCAGTGAAATGGATCATCAGGAGGTAGACAAAGATAGTGCACCTTCTCAGTTAACATCACTCTATGTTTATTGGGATTCCTTGCCACAAGGCCTTTGCAAATAATCACAGGGATAAGTAGTTTTTAGTTAAAATTCATTCAAGCTGGATCTGCAGTGTATTTGCCCTGACACTCAAGTAATGAACCCACCTGTATTTCAAAGAAGGTTAAGAGATGACAGGACAGCCATGTTTAAATATTTGAAGGGTTATCATATTGAGGAGGGAGCTAGCTTGTTTTCTGCTACTCCAGAGACTAAGGGGGGTTGCAGACTGCCAGAAATAGTGCAAATTG